CACACTCATGGGCTGTATTTAGGCCATCCACCGTTTATAACAGCCGCCCTAATGGTTCTAGACACACGAAACAGATAGACGGGTCTTTAATCAAACTGCAGACGTCTCCGCAAAGCAACATCAGCGGTCATCCTCACGACAAAGAAATGATTTCTAACGCTTATTTCTATCGCTTACTAGCGATATTCGGCTAATCAAAACGTCTCCAGCAATACCCAAGAGTGGAATCCAAAAACAGAACGACGGCAGCGTGAATTAAGATGGATCTTAAGAAAATATAAGTCTTGTTATAAACATATACGTCACCTTATAGACGGCAAAAGTCAATGGTCTCAGGCGTGAAGGGGTGCAAAACTGCGCCTATCTCGGATAGCTGATTTCTGTAACACGGAACCAACTTGACGAAGACGCCGTCGAAGTTAAACATGGATGACTGAGGGCGTACCATGTGGGGAATTTGCCCTGTGCCTTCGGAAAGTTCCAATCATACGCCTTTCCAACGCTAACCTACGGACACGAAACATGGACATCAAACTCAAAAGCTGTTTCGTAAACAGAAGACTAAGCAGTGTAGCACGGAAGAGCGATCGTTAGTAATAGACAGAAGAAATAGGAAGACGATCGAATGGACAAGAGCCAAAAAAGGATGAAGATAAAAGAACAACAAGCCATCGCATCGCTGAACAGAAGAAAATAGACTGGGTTCAAAGGGGCAGCAAATGGTCCGAAAAAAGACCTCCAGATCGAGAAACGAACTCAATGAGTTTCGATGAAACGCAGGTACGGAATTTTGTGGCAAAACTATCGAAACGCTTTCAATATAATCATATACGCGTAGCTGTTGACGGATGACCGTTGCGTCAATAAAAAGAACGTCCTCGGAAACCGTTTCGACGAACAAGGGGCCGAAACTGTTAGGTAATAGTTTAAATTGATATTTCATCTGACTGGCTATACTTTTATATTGTATTTTCCTACACCAGAGGAAACGCAGAGAACGAAAGAGCAGCCACGCTACTTAATATGAGCCACGGCCTGCTTGTGAATCAGAGGTGGCCACCGGCTTCCGCGGAAAAGAGCCTATTTATAGATTGGCTTAACAGTGGTAGCTGCTTCCCAACCACTGGGTGGTCATGATCACCAGTCACAATTTTATAATCCGTCAGAGACTCGCTGGCTTACTGTTTCGGGGTTCAAGACAAACCTTCGCGGACACTACATGGGTTACAGTTGAATATGCCCAACCGCACTTCAGTCTGTAAAGCAATAGTTTACCCTCATCCAGCTGTGGGTCGTAAAAATCTGATGATGAAAATGAGCCGAATTTCACCTTGACTATGCTAATCTGACGCTCATTTGTCGGCTACGTAACTGGTTTTTTGCATTGCGTTATACTGAAGTTTTCCGTTTAACTTGTAGATAGAAGAAACATCTTTCAGTAACTCAGTCCGAGCAATAATCTGCGATATACTTTGCTATACCGTGCACTTGTTTTGAAGAGCTTCTGTCCCCTATTCTTGGTACATATATCACCGTCGAGGTAAGCTGCTTATTGACCGTTCGTCTCAGCGGTTTGCTAGCTACCGATGTCAAACAACATTCCCGAAGAGCAGCGAGTAAACAGGCTCGCAACGAGGTGCATCAAAATTCACAGACTACTCATCAGATCAGAAAGACACTAACCGCCTCCAGTTGTGCGAGGTGTGTTCGCCAGTCGGAAAAGACCTTCTTCTCACATTTCAGGAGTTCGTCAGGCGACATGTCGGTATTCCACACCGGTCGTCGTGGGATACCGACCTTCAGCAAATCAGGTGTCAGCTTCGATTGCGCACTAGTCGAGTCATGTTTCGCAACCACCACCTGGTTCTGTACGTAGTTGACAATCGTGCCGTTCATCCGCTGGCTTTCGAAAGTCCGATCGTTCAACTCGATGTTCGCCAGAAACTCATTCAAATCACTGTCAGTCGTAATCGACTGCAAGTTCTTCTTGGCGACTTCAGCCTTACACTCGAAAGCAGGAACCGCGGCCATCGCCCTGTTCGCCTTTCGAATTCTTTCCCGCGCCCTCACCAGAGACTTGCCGATGTGCTTACCCGCCTTCTTCGCCATTACTCACCAGCCGCCTGAGGCAACCTAAACAAAGCTGTAGCATAACATCACGAAAGCGCTTTTAGTCGCGAAATAACCATCAACACAACGAACGGAAGTGTACCCATTACACAATTTACAGCAGATCACAGTTTGCTAGAACGATACGCAAATAAGGAAAATACAAATAAGCACGCGTTAAGCACACAGACCCGGGCTGCTCAATCGGTAGAACGTCATACTCACAACCGAGAGGTCCCGGGATGGAGAACCGGTCGGGTCACTCTACTTCGCGTTTCATCCTTCTGAGGTTGATAAATTAGTACAATTCAATGAGAACGAGACAGGAGACTACGCGCAACGCTTGCTACAAGGCTACTGTCGACTCTGCCTTTAAAATGACGCTCATGGCTGGTGCCACGTAAATGGAGATCAGCGCCAACCGCTAACTTCACTGAAAGAAGGGCGCCAGAAAAGACCTATTACGAAACTGTAAGGACCGACATTCAAATGGTCACAAATTTTCGTTTTCTTGTTTTTTACATGCAATGAGAAACAACTTCAAAATCTCTTGAATCGCAAACAAGAGTGCTGCAATAAATAGTGCGAAACGCTTTCATTCCCTTCGATGATATGGTTTCCTTTTCCATGCTGAAAAATCGGGTTCATCGATGATGTCATCGAACCTGTAAAATCTTGTTTAAACCCTTAAGTGACAAAAAAAGGCATTGGCCACTGATTCTATTTAAACCGTAAAATATTCATCCACTCATTGAATGACTGTAGACTCTTTCCACCCCAAATAACTAAGTAACTACTTAACTTAGAACACGACACGAGTCTCTGTTGAAAGTTACCAACTCGCCGACTGTCATTTACGTACTCCCAGTGATAAAGAACTTGTTTCAATGGAGCAGCATCGCTTACCTACACACCACAGAAGGGGTGAGTTAGACTGATTAAGATCCTGAAAGTAGCAAGGAAAAGACAATTTAAGACATTCCCAGAAAGTACAACGATTTGCCTGCTGCTTCCAAAGCGACGCAAAAACTGAATGCGTTTCCACTGCTTTTCTACACGTGTTATATTTTGTGAACGTACTGGCTGCTATAAACAGTTATGCGGATTTTCATAAAGCCATTCAAATATTCGACCGCAAACTATTTCGAAACACCATTTGTCGAAAGAGGCGTTCCTCCGTCGTATTACCCTTTCTGTCACGGCGGGTACAGCTCCTTCAGACAGTTCTCCATCAGGGTAGCATAGCAAAGTCCTGAAGCCAGCAATGAAAGAACGCTACGATTCTCGCATCCCTTCACTATACATTCACTCGTCGACTACAAACCGTATACCATGTGCCATATCATGTGATGCTCCGCGAAAAGAACACCGAGGGTGAGTTATGAAGAGCCGGTAGATCACTGGACAAAAAAAATCATGGCCATAGTTTTTCATTCTGGATTAACAACAGCTGGTGCAAAAATCCGGCGTGACGCTAAACTTTTCCGTTTGCGACCGACGTTTACGGAAACCAAGGCATATGACAATCCACATCCCTACTTAACCGCGCCATGCCATATCGTACTTGAATCACATCCGCTATATGTCAATATGAAGACCGCAAGCCTCTTAAACGTCTACATGTAAATATATCGCGAGATATAATTCTTCAAAGGACGACACCGACAATATGACACAAGAACACATAAGTCACCCTTCAATTGAACGCATAGCATAAATCGAAATTGAAACGGTAAAGCGTCAGAGTCGGTATTTAAAATTTCGTGGGCTTGAATCCCAGCCAAAACGTTCGCTTTTTATTCATGCAATCAATCCAGTCCGATCCAGCTCATCTTTACATCAGCACTTAATAGTGTGCCTATCGAACAATTCAAGAACTCGATCAAGTGACATCTACAAATGTCCGAATGAGGCTTACAGGAAGTAGGTTGTCCCTTTTACAGTTAGGTGCTTAATCGATTCCAGAAAATAAGAACAGGAGCTTTGGAAGAAGCTTTTGCAATTCTGAAGACCTCTGGCAAAATCACCATAGCCTTGTCTCCGTTGTGCAGTGCTTACCGTTGGTTAGCAGTTGTAAATAAATACACTTTTCTGTTCCTGCATGAGATGACTACTTGTCGTGTTCCTTAGGGGAAACTTAAGTAAAAAAGAATGAATCAAAGAACGTCGCACAGACAAAATACACGTCTCCTTCCTTCTAATAGAGAAATACAGTAAGAATACACAGGGATTTCTGTCGGTACAGCATTGAATCCCGAAACGAGAAATCCTGAATTTGAGCGCTTGTCAAAATACGCCTTCCTTCCTTCTGAGTCTGATGAATGATTACCGCTACGTGGGAAGGAAACAGGAGACTACGTCATACTTGCCACATAGCTGCAGCCGATTCCGCCTTTAAAATAGAGCACTGTGCATGTTTTTATATATAAATATGCCTACGGATAATAGCATATCGGCAGGTGTCTGGACAGGATTTTGTTCGGCCCTGATGCGGTTTTACATTCATGCACTGCAAGTTTTCAAACGCCATGGAGCCGTGGATTGCTTAAACGGTCACCTAAGCCGCTAGTAGCAAGGGGACAGTGCTATTATGCCATTTCAATCCGGTATCAAGAGAGAACATGTTAAAACAGAGCACTCCTTGCTGACAGCGTGGCAATGGCTATCAGCACCCCAGCATTAACTTTAGTTAAAGAAGGACGCCAGCAATGACCCATCATGAAA